CGCGGTCAGTTCGAGCTTGAAAAATGATGCTTCATCGTCAGACATAAGGTTTCGCTCAAGTGCAAGAAGCGACGCTCGAACGTGGAATACACATTTCCAGAAGTTTTGCAGACGAAAGACCCCGTTCGAGCTTGAGACTGGACGCTCGAGCATCCAATGCATTCTCCCAGTATTTGTAGAATTGCAAAAATACTGAAAGTTGACCAATCTCACTCGAGTGCTAGAATGGCCGCTTGAGAGGAGGAGCAAAATTTCTGAAGCCCGCTCGAGCGCAAGAATGCCCACTCGAGCGGAAGAGCCAAAATCTGGGCATCACAGGTTTGGAAAAACACGCAACCAACCTGTTCCAAACACACGACCACAACCCGATAACCAAAATAAAGGGGAGACAAGGTAAACAAGATATGAATCATTATTTAGAATTATACAACCCGAGTCCGGAACACAACAAGTGACGGGTCAAAATCGGAATCGTTATAACCTCCCCCCCTTAAAGAATTTCATCCCTGAAATTTCAAATCAAGCTCAAAAACATAATTAAACCGTTCACAACAATGTTGTTCTTACAAGTTCATCACCATGGCCCATTTTCCGGTCATCTATTTCCATCGACTCGATACACAAGTCCCATATTGAAAGTACATTTTACAATTTCCAAACATTTGCAATGTTTAAATCAAGATTCAAATTTCCAAATGTTTACATAGCATATACGATGCTTCCAAAAGCGCCATAATACGTATGATATCCCACATTCTCAAACATATGCAATGTTTATAATAACTCAAAATTCCAAAAGTAAACAACATATACAATGCTTCTAAGTTTTTAAACATATACAATGTTCTTATATTCTATCAACCATGATCACAAAACGATACTTGTTCAAACATCAATAAATAAGTCCGAATACTTTTCTCGGACTTTCAATTCGCGCTCCCAAGTTACTTCTTCAATCCTGTGATGTTTCTACAATACTTTGACCAAGGGGATTGTCTTGCCTCGCAAGACTTGGTCCCGTTGATGCAAGACTCTCACTGATCTCTCTTCATATGAGGCATCCTCATCTACTTCCAAGTTGGCCCAATCTAACGCGTGCAACAGATCCGGCTCATACTTCCAAAGCATACTAATATGAAATACGTCATGCACTCCAGAGAATTGTGGCGGCAATGCCAAATGATAAGCAACCTCTCTAATCTGTTCAAGGATCTCGAAAGGACCAATAAACCGAGGGGATAACTTCCTACTCTTCTCAAATCTCATTAAACCTCGCCTAGGTGATATTTTTAGGAACACATGGTCTCTCACTTCAAAAGACAAGGGTCTCCTCCTACGGTCGGCATAACTTTTCTGACGACTCTGAGCTGTAACTAACCTCTTACGAATAAGTGCCACTTTCTCCGTCATTTCCCAAACTAACTCTGGGCCCAACAAAGATGCATCACCCACCTCGGCCCAACACACTGGAGATCTACAAGGTCGACCATACAAGGCCTTAAATGGTGCCACGCCAATGTTCAATTGGAAGCTATTGTTATAGGCAAACTCCACGAAGTGCAGATGCCTCTTCCAAGAACCCTTAAAATCAAGGACACAGCTTCAAAGCATATCCTCTAGGATCTGAATAGTACGCTCAGATTACCCGTCAGTTTGAGGATGGTACGCAATACTAAAGGTCAATCTAGTGCCCAAGGCACTTTGCAAGCTCTGCCACAACCAAACTGTAAAACACAAATCTCTATCTGAAACTATCGTCACAGGGTCCCTGTGTAACCTCACTATGTCCCTGATATACAAGTCGGGAAGATAGTCTATCGAATCACTCACGCGCATAGGTATGAAGTGCGCAGACTTGGTCAACTGGTCAACTACTACCCATATGGCATCGCTATTACGTTGAGTCCTCGAAAGGCTCACAACAAAATCCATTGTAACATGTTCCCATTTCCATTCGGCTATAGGCAAGGGTTGTAAGAAACTTGCTGGCCTCTGATGCTTGGCCTTCACTTGTTAACAAGTAAGACACTTTGATACAAACACTACCATGTCCTTCTTCATACCTCTCCACCAAAACTGGCGACTTAGGTCATGGTACATCTTTGTGCCCCTCGGGTGCACCACAAGGCGCGAATGATGAAACTCTTGGAGTACTTCCTTTTGGAAAGACTCCGATACAAACGAACGGTCACTGTATCTCACACTTTGGTTGGGACACACATTCAAACCCCTCTCCACTTTCCCACCGAAAATCTTCTCCCTGAGGGTTTCTACTTCAAGGTCACTCTTCTACGCTTCTAACACTCAGTTCACAAGTGTAGGTTGGACAATTACCATAAACAAAGCCGCAAATTCAATGGAATCACCAAGGTGCAGGTCAAACTCCCCAAGAGTACGTAACATCTCTCATTCCCGAATGGCGATACAAGCCACACTGCTAATAGATTTCCTACTCAGGGCATTTGCCACAACATTAGCCTTCCCCGGATGATAATGCAACTCAAAATCATAGTCCTCTATAAACTCCATCCACCTCCTCTGCCTCAAATTCAGGTCTTTCTGTGTAAACAGATACTTCAGACTTTTGTGATCGAAAAATACCTCAAATTTCTCACCGTACAGATAGTGCCTCCAAATTTTCAAGGCAAATATCACCGCTGCTAGTTCTAGATCATGAGTAGGGTAGTTCCTCTCATGGGTTTAGGTACTACCTTCCCCTCTTACATCAAGACACAACCCAAACCTTCCCATGAGGCATCACAATAAACTGAGTAACCCAAACCCCTCTCCGGAATAATCAAGACTGAAACAGTGGTAAGTCTAACTTTAAACTCTTAGAATGACTTCTCACAAGCCTCACTCCATACAAATTTAACTCCCTTCCTCGTCAGCCTAGTTAGTGGTGAAGCTAGTCTAGAGAAATTCTTCATAAATCTCTGATAGTACCCGGCCAACCCCAAAAAACTACGAATCTTAAAGGCATTCTTAGGTTGTGCCCAATCTTGCACTACCTCTATCTTGGATGAATCTACAGCCACCCCTTCTCCAGACACCACATGATCTAGGAATTTAACCTATTTTAGCCAGAACTCACATTTCCCAAACTTAACATACAACTTGTGGGCTCTAAGCAACTCAAGCACTACTCACAAGTGCTCCTCGTGTTCCACCTCGGAGGGTGAGTAAATCAAGATGTTGTCCACAAAGCCGACCACAAAACGGTCTAAGAATTCACGGAAGATTCAGTTCATCAAGTCGATAAATACAGCCGGTTCATTGGTTAGCCCAAATGGCATCACTAGAAACTCATAATGGCCACACCGCATACGGAATGCCGTCTTCGGGATATCCTCCTCCCTTACCCCCAACTGATGATAACCCGACCTTAGGTCTATCTTAGAGAAACAACAAGACCCTTTCAACTGATCAAACAGATCATCTATACGAGGCATTGGATACTTGTTCTTAACCGTGACCCGGTTCAACTTCCGGTAATCAATACAAAGTCGCAAGGCTCTATCTTTCTTTTTAGCAAAGAAGGCCGGTGCTCCCTAAGGTGAAGTACTAGGGCGGATAAAATCCTTATCTGACAACTCCTGGAGTTGAACCTTCAACTCACTCAATTCTGCAGGTGCAAACCAATACGGAGTCATAGAAATCGGTGCCGTGCCAGGCACTAAATCAATAGAGAACTCGACCTCTCGGTGAGGTGGTAAATTAGTAAGGTCCTCGGGAAAGACATCGGGATATTCACAAACCACCCTTGGCAACTTAACCCGGCCTGCATCACACTCACTACTCAGAATACTAGCAAGGAGACAATTAAGTTCACTCCGCCCACGCGGATCATATACCGGTGATAAGACTCTATCCACCCGGTCCTCCAAGAAATAAAAGTAGTCACCGCTCGAGGTACATATAGTAACCTTTTACCGGCAACAATCTATAATAGCCCGGTATGATGATAACCAGTCTATACCCAAAATAACATTAAATCTAGACATGTCAAGCCAAACAAATGCAAATGAAAGCCGACGATCGGCGACCTCTATGTCATAACCCCAACATCCCTGTTTCAAGACAACCTCACCACCAATAGGTGACTCTACACAAATAGGAGATGCTAACTGTGCCAACTCCAAATCCAAAACCGATGCAAATGTAGACGAAATAAATGAATGGGATGCACCCATATTAATCAATACATTGGCAACTGAATTGCAAACACTACAACAAGTTGGGTCTTGAATGACGAAATTTTTTGTCTCGAAAGAACTAATTTCGTCACTATAGATATTTGTGAGGAAATATTTTCGTCACTAGTTTCGTCATTGAATGTTTGTCACTAAAAACCACCGTGACAAAAAATAATTTCGTCACTAATGAAATTACTTCAGTGACGAATTTTTTTATCACCAATAAAACAAGATTTTGTCGCCAAAAATTCTCATTTTCGTCACCAAATAATTATTCAGTACCATATTTATAATTTTAATTGACGAATAAATTTGTCACAAATGTTGATCATTGATGAAGAAATAATTTCGTCACAGTAATATGTAAAGGTGACGAAATTTTTCGTCTCCAAAAGTCATACATGGGTGACGAAATATATTTTGTCACAAATATATTTATATAAGTGACGAAATATATTTTGTCACATATATATATATATATTTGCGACGAAATATATTTCGTCACCAAACAACAAAATCAATGAAAACTTTCATATATATACTGCAATAAATTTTGTCACAAAAAATGTTCATTAACGACGAATAATCACTTTGTCATAATAACAAGTACATATGACGAAACAAATTCGTCACTAAACCTGTTCCATATTTTATATTTCAATTTCAATTATTATTTCACAAATATCTCTACTGATATCCCAATAGGCTTTTAATTGTACTAAGAAATCCACTAGCTATTATATATCACTCCACAAAAAAATTCACTAAACAATTTATATTATAAATCAAAATATATCCATCAAACAATTTTAATAATATAAACCATTAAGTAAAACAAAAAAACCATCAAAGCAAATCCCAAAATGAACTAACGTGGAATCCACAAAAAAAATCAACTCTCAATCTTAATTTGCAACTACAACTAAGTATCAATTCAGGAAACAAAATTCAACAGTTGAACTTCATTTGCAAGTATGCTTCCAAACGTCATCAAAACCCAATCTGCAAAGAAAATAAACAAAGAAAACATTAATATATTATCAATTACATCTAAACTTATATATAAATAATTTTATTTTATAAACCAATTTAGTAGAAATGCATATAACAAATCAAAAATTCAAAGAGTTGAGGTGATCCTTGATGATAAAACGACACAGATAACATAAGATGCCAAAAGATTGCAAGAATACCATATATCACTATCACTAATGGCAGAATATATATATATATATATATATAATAGCTCCAAAATATAACGTAGCATTGAGGTACATTTGATACACGACAATGGGCCGATGACTTCTTCAATAAGGTAAATTTGATCAGTGGAATTCAACACAAGAACCTTGTAAGACTTTTGGGTTGTACCATTAAAACCCCTCAATGCCTTCTTGTTTATGAATTTGTACCCAACAGAAGCCTTGATCAAATCGTCTTTGGTAAGGAATCATTGTGATTTTTTATTTTTTATTTATAAACATGCTCATGATTTTTTTGACTTTTTGGTTTTTAATTTTGGCTGCTTTTGGCTAATATTATTTATATATTTCTTTATAAACATTTTAAGTAACGGGAATCTTACACAAATGAGGTGCAAATAAATTTATCTGAGGCAAAATGAAAACAACAAGTCCTGGAAACTAAATTACAAAGATTAGTTCTTTTCTGATAGAGTGGGTCCTAACAGGGACTTGAATTCTGCACCTCCCTTTTTGTGGGTGTCAGGATATGCAACTCAATCTAACACCAGGTAAAAATAAAGTTTGTTAAATATTTCTCCTTTGCTTCTTATATAGTCCAATTGAGCACAATGAAGACAATATATGATTGGTTGGCTAACACAAATTGAATGTTTGTGTCAAATAACAAGGACAACACCACTAAGAGGGAGAAGTTGAAGCCTTAAGAACAAGAGATAGACCAACAGACATGAATGTAAGTTGTGAGAAAGCACATGATCTCAAGAAAAGACTTCTTTAGCCAGGACAAAGTGGTTGAAATGTGGCTTCACTAAGTTGAGTATAGGGGAAACCTTCAAATGGATCAATCTATTAAAAGTCCTTATTATGCTAAACCATCCTAACGATATATACAAAACAGCAGCAATCACAAAGTGATATACAAACCTGACCAACCCACTGCCTGAGACTCAATAAATGTTCCTTCATTTCTTCTACTGTGAAAAACTCAATCAAAGACACACCCACTATTAATCACATCACTAACTTAGAGCAACTCCAACACTACCTAGAAAAAATACACAAAAAAATAAACACATAGTTTTGTCTCTACTTTGGTTAGTGTGTGTTTTAACTAGGGCCATGCTAAGTAAGAATTTTGATAATGAATCTATTTTCATTAAATACATCTTAAAACTTGTTAAATCTTAGTTAATAAGTAGTAAAACTGTTGTACTTTAACTAGTATATACTAACCAACATGAGAAAAATAAAAAGATAAAGCAAGCGAGACTCACCGAAAAGGCGATGTACGAGTTCATGGGATACCTGCTCCTCTAAATTGTCCTTTAAAACCTTGCTTCTTAAGAAATTCCATAATGCTTGATGTCATCTCAAAATTCTTGTCAATCGACCCATTCATCTTCCTTATCTCTTTATTTTGTGCTTGAATTTCCTCTTTTTGTGACTAAATTTCCTCCTTTTGCTCTTGTATTTCCATCTCTAGACGCCTCACATAGTCACTGTCAGTCGAAGCACTGGTAGTCCTAACAGAGAAAGAACGCCTCAACCCAAGTCCTTTAACATATCTCGACCTTGGCTTGAGCACCTTCACAAATAGCTCCTCCAAAGTAATTGGAACCACACCAGGTTGGGAGCAATGTTCAGCTTGGATCTTTATCATATTATCCTGCTATTTAAAAAAAAATGAATAAAGATACAATAAAAATTGCAATCATCCTAATACAAAAGGTAAGTATACATACATAATTCTTTTCTCACTCCGGAGAAATCCACTGCTTTGTGACATCATTAAAGTGTATAGATTTGTAAACACATGGCAACTCTGGCAGTTGGCCCCCATTTGTGATTATCTGATTTTTTTTGTTCTTCAACTATTAAGTTAAATAAGAATTATGGTAGTAGAATCATAAAACGAGAAAGAACAGAGCACATCGGATTAAATGGTTACAAACAATGACATCTGTTTTTTCATCAATGACAATGTATTACCTTGATACAGAGCACATCGGATTCCAACTTTCTGGATGAACTGAAAAATGATAGAAAGGAGATGAAAATAAAATCAGTTTATTAGAAAGAACAGATGATTCCTAGACCAATGATATTTAACGGCACTTATAATCACTCATAGACAAGCAGAGTTTCTTTTGTGTCATAAATTGTCCATTTGGAGTAGTCATACTACAATGGAAACAAATGTAATTTTCAGTTAAAGAAACCTAGTGAAAATGTTTTAAAAAAAAAAACTCATGAAGCTGCTAAAAAAGTATCAAAATATTTTTTTCTGGAAAAATTTAAGCAGACAGAATCACGACATCTGATTCTTGGAGGTTTAAATGGATACTCTGGAGGGAACTTGATCTTCCCATATTAATATCCACCTTACCATAATAAGTGGGAAACATTCATGAATAAAATAAAATAAAATAAAAAATTCCATGTTCCAAGAACAATAGCAAACGAAACCAGCGATGAAATAAATGTCGTGATGCCAACCTTTGGAAAACAAAACCTATTGTGGAAACTAAAAAAGGAAGGCACATTTAACTACCCAAAAATGTATGAAGTAAAAGTTAAGCAATGTATTAATCTTTGAAACCTTCTGGAGCTCCAAAACTCTCCCCATCTTTCAATCTAACTATAGGACTGCTTGATATGCACACACTCACATAAATATACAAGCGGTGCGTACAAAAGCAATGTGTCTGCAATTTTACAATTAAATTTTTGGATGGTTTGCTGATTGAGGGGCCATTTGAAAAAAAAAATGCTTAGCAGTTTTGGGCAGTTTGGTAAATGACAAAAAAACAAGTCAGTAGTTACTCAATCGTGGCAGTCACTTAATGTGAAGGGCATCCTTGGAAGGAAAAAAAAAAAAAAGACAATGTTCCCACCATACGGGATGTAAGCTTCATATAATAAAATAGGTATATATATGTGTGTGTGTGCACGTATAAAATCTCAATATATACATTTGTCATGCTTTTCATAGTCATCCATTTGTCAATTCCTGAAATTTTCAACACAATCCATGATTAATAAAATGGATACAAGAAAAGGGGAAAGAAGATGAACCATAACGCGCTTAGAGCTTCGGATTTCAAATTTGGTAATGGCACTAATGGAAGTGGTAGGTAGTGGCCCAGTATGTATTTAGCTTGAGACCAGATCTGATGGAGCAAAGCCATGGCAAACATTCAGCTAGAGCAAAGCACACCAACCCCTAATCATTATTCCTGATTGCCACCACCCCTTGGACCCCTGCCCATCCGTCCACAGCCACGTCCGTAGCTTAGGCTCAACTCCACCTAAGCACCTACTGTGTTTCAGCGCCAAAAATTAAAAAAACTTCAAAAATGTCACAGCAACTCAAATGAATTCCTAAATTCTGGCCATTTCATAGAGATGGCAATGAACATGACACTAAAAATCTTGTCCAATAGAAACAAGCTCTCCATAAGATAACAGAGCCATCATTGTGAGAGAAGGTAAAGAGAGCATCAATTCATGTCAAATACTATTTTCTTTTCTGTAAAAAATTAAAAACCTTCCCGGAATAACAGTCAACCTTTGAACCCCATACAAGAAAGTCACTTTTTTCCAAAATCTAATAGAGCCAATCTTTTACCACAACATTAATTTTTAGTACAACGGTAAGTAAACCTTATTATTATTATCAAAGACCCTATGTTGGCATACTCACACGTTAGGGGAAACCAAACCAGGTTTGCCACTACTTCCAGTTTCAAACACTATTAATAACTTCACATAGGACATAGCAGAAAATGATATCAAAAAGCAAGTCCATTAGACAACAACTAATTCCCCCCAATTCGTAGAAAACAAGCGACTACTTGCGCATAAGGTGCAGATGCACACTGCCACAGCAATTTTTTTTTTATATATATATATATATATAAATAGAATTCACAATAAGGTTCACCTTCAGAATAATCAAGTGATTCACAGCGATGTGAAGTTATGATATGTTTAATCAAACCAGAAATATTTACTTATAAAAAACATGTATTTGATAAAACCATAAGCCAATGAGCAGGCAGCTAAATGCTAGCCACTAGACACTTAAAGAACCTAAAATAAGAAGAAAACTTTATTGATGGAAAAGATTACAACAAAAACAAGAGAGGGTGCACAAGCATCATAGCGAACAAATGGATCCCAACTAGGTTGGCACCCAAACGCAAGCCCAATCATATGCTAGCACCCCAGGAAGTTGATGAGAAACCAACCTCTACAACACTACACAACAAACCAATTACAACACCAAAGTAACAAAGCAAATGACCCAACTGAACTACCCCAGTAATAGCAACAGCAACAGCAACAGATTAACAGATCCAGAGATGCTAAATTATATAGGTATGATTGATTTGTGCCATTTTCTCTTAATTGTTGAATGAATTTTTCAATTTTTAGTGATACATTTGGATACTATTTAATACGATGCTTTATGTGAGAAAATTGTGTTTTGTGATTGGAATTTGTGCACTTAAATTTTATTTTAAATAATGACTAATGAGATCTGTTTGGGTTAAACAATGCTAATCCAAACTGTAAGTCCAGAGTCAAGCATTCTGCCCTGCAAACACTCTAGCACAGTTCATACATCCATAGCATCTACATTATGCAACAAGCCCTTTGCCGCAAATTATTAAAAGAATAAATAAATAATGGTGCGGCAATGACATTATGACAAGAAAACCTTTGCTAGAACCAGTAAGCTAGCCACTTAAGATATAAAGCTAGATGCAAAGTACACTGCTCACATAGGCATAAAATATTCATTCAAATGCTCAAAGCTCTTACAACATTAATCTAGTTCTTACAACTCAAACACCCAATATAAAAACAAATAGCAGATGCATTTCATCTATCCATCAGTTCAAGCACAGAAAGGGATAGATTCCACAGTGCATAAAAACAAACAGAAAAGCAGAGAAGAGAAGGGAGGAGGGGGATATAAATATATATATATATATACTAAGAGAGAGAGAGAGAGTCAAAGAGAGAGAGAGAGACGAAACAAGGGTTTCAGGAAGAAGAAATAGAAGAGAGAGTCAAAGCAGATTACAAATTGAAGCCAAGTCCAAGTCGAAGCAGTTGAAGCAGACTGCGTCAATGGACTTTTCTTCTCATAGTAAGTCGAAGCAGACTGCGTCAATGGATCTCCACTGATTCAATTGATTGAAGAAGTGTTTGAAGAAACCTTTGCCCTTCACCTACGTCTCCCTCTCTTCTTAGAAACTGTGTGTTTTTTTTCTTTTCTTTTTTTTTGAATTGTATCAATCTGTTTGATAATAAAAAAATAAATTAAATATTTTTTTTTTGATAAGTGGCGCCAAAAAAATTGGGTTTTGGTGCCTGAAGTATTTTAGGATACCATTCACGACCCACACAGTAAGTCGTAAAAAGTGACTTATTTTTAATGACTGGCAGACGTGTGCCGTATATAACTGATGTATTAATGGCATGCTATATGTATGTCGTAGAAAGCTTTGTCAATTACGGCACGCAATGCAACTCGTGAAAAAATTATCATTTTTACCATTAACGGCCTGCGCAATAGACACTTCGTGGTTAGTCTATTATTTACGACATGCAAAAAAAGCAAGTCGTAAAAGTGAGAAATTACGGCTTGCATGCATTGTATGTCGTTGATGTGGTACCGTGAAAAGTCAATTTTGTTGTAGTGCAAATAGTTTATAGCAAATCTAGTTCACTCTAGACTTGGAAAAAGCCTTGAATTCCCAAGTTCAAAAGCAACTAAAGATCCCTCATATCTTCTAGCTGACAAGAGCTTGCACAAGGAAACAAAATTGCAGTATCTGCACCAAAACCTAATAAAATTAAGTCCGAACTATACCATTACCGATTAAAAAGAGAAAAAAGCATCACATAATTAACTTCAATACAAGTAACCACTGGCAAATGACAGTAAAGTAAGAAATTCGAGTTCCATATTATCTCATTAAGTAGTTGAATCCTAAAATAGAATAAATTCTAGATAGCAAAATGATGTTTCACCCTATATGCAAAACAACTATGCCACGTAAACCAAGATTGTGCTAGGCACAAAATTCTGCTAAAGCTATAAAGGTTAGGATCAGCTGATGCCAAAAAATTAAAATAATCCTGTGTAAGGGAGATATTACTGACATGATAGAATGGTGGCGAACTGTTCAGTCCCCATCCTTTAGAACAGCAGCAGCAACAGCCTCCCATTTCTATTCAGTTATCTCTATTGTCCACCCGAAGCTATCAGCAATTTAGTCATCATGTTCCTTCTGTTTGGCATAAGAAAAGGAATTTTATTAGATGAAAAATGCTTGGCATAACACAAGGACATTCTATAGATCAAGGGTAAACAATGTCATAGTTAAAGCCCAAAAGAAAACTGCTTTTAAAATTAGGACTGACTCAAAAATCATCAATAAATATCAAATAACATGTGAAAGGGCATATGAGACAAGTATAAGATTGAATCAGCACAGATATACACACAAACAACTGAAGTACATCAGTAATAAGACACTAACTTGATGGGTGAGTGAATGATTAATTGGTGGTGTATACCCATTTCGATTCAGTGGATATGGGTTCTGATACACAGTTCTTGTACCAAAAATTTGTTCTCTTTGTCGGCATTTTCTACTTCTTTGTCTCCACCTACTTTTTTCCTCTTTTCAATTTCTTCAAGAGATAACTTATCAGGTATTTCAAAACTCTTTCTTTAATTTTCTTTTTCTATTTTTATGGTAATTAAAAAAATCTTACTTGTTTTAAAATCTTATATTGTTTCTGATTATTTTGTTTGTTGCAGATTCAAAAGAAATAACAGGTCATCAGAGGACAACTCAAACCAATCGGAGGTTTCTTCTGCAGAAAACGGTCTTAAAGATTCGATTCCTGTAACGCCCTCAAAATTAACCCATTATATATCATTGACATGCGATTCCTATTGAGCCAAAAACAGAGTTACAACCGTGGATATACAGGGGTCGAATCCAAACAAGAAGACAAATGAATTTTCAGATGGGTTTGACCAAAAACAGACACCCGAGTTCTCTTTCAAATTCAAGTTTCCAACTTTTTTAGAATTCAATCAGAACAGGAAAAAAATGGGGGTTCTACCAGCTTTGAAGCAGCCCCAGATACGAGCATCGCTAAGTACGCGTTCATGCCTGTTGTCAAGTGTTCAAGTATATATATATAACAACAGCAACAGCAACCTCTCACAGCGAAAGGAAGAGAAGAGAGATGAGATGAGTGCCTTACCGTCGAACTAGTCTCGCCGCCGAAGATATGAGTGCACCATCCACCTCTCACAGCAATTGATTTTGATCCTCCCTCTATTTTGAGTGCATCGTTCGGCTGCGATCCTCTCTCTGTTTTGGGACACTGCAGTAAAGCTTTGAAGAACCTCGAAAGGGTATCAGGACCGCCGTGTTCGCCTTCGATCACCACAGCTATTCGATTAATTAGCAGTCAATCAGAACGGTTTGAAGAACCCCTTTCCCCTTCCAACGAATTTTGGAACCCTATTTCTTGTCCCTCTCTTTCCTCTATGTTACTTTATCATTATAACCCACTAGAACAGAGAGGTAAGAGTCAGTGTATCTTTTTAATTAAACAACAATAAAGGAGTGGAAGAAATTAGATAAGAATTCAAATAAGCACTCAAAAGAGCAAAAAAATCCATATTCATGGCTTCAATAATTATTGGCAATTCCCAATGGAGGTACATAAAATGCATTTTAACATATTGACAATCCCTAATCAAGGTACGTAAAATACATTTATCTAGAATTTATATGTGCCCTTAATCTTTATTTTTTTAGTAAATCTATTACATTTAATATTTTCTGTTAATTGCATATAAAGCAAATAACATGAACGAGTTATTAACTTAACAAGTCTATATTCAAGTACTCATTTTTTCATAGCTAGTCTGAAAAAATAATATATGGGACACTATGTGTCTGAGTAGTTTTCAAAATTAGGGAAAACAATGAAATTAGTTTTGAAAATTAGGGAAAATAAAGATTGAAAAATAGAGAAATTGAGTGAGGGAGGGAGAGAGAGAGAGAGAGTTACATTTAATATTTTCTGTTAATTGCATATAAAGCAAATAACATGAACGAGTTATTAACTTAACAAGTCTATATTCAAGTACTCATTTTTTCATAGCTAGTCTGAAAAAATAATATATGGGACACTATGTGTCTGAGTAGTTTTCAAAATTAGGGAAAACAATGAAATTAGTTTTAAAAATTAGGAAAAATAAAGATTGAAAAATAGAGAAATCGAGTGAGGGAGAGGGAGGGGGAGAGGGAGAGAGATTAGGGAAAATAAAGATTGAAAAATAGAGAAATAGAAATCGAGTGAGGGAGAGGGAGAGGGAGAGAGAGGGAGAGAGGATCTATACCTGAAAAGAGAAAAATAGAGAAATAATCGAATAAGCAACGCCGACGGCACTAACGATTGCTCGGAGGAGAACGCGGGTGACATCGGTGGCGGCACTGAAGGAGGAGAACGAATGACGTTGGTGGCAGCTCTAAAGGAGAAGAAGGGGGGCTGAAGACAGAGAACGTATGTTTTGCAAGAGAGGGATGAGAGGAAAACTGAAGCACCAAAAAAAAAGAAAAGAAGGGGGAACTAGGAGGATTTTTTTTTTCTTTTTCATCACCGCCAATATCACAAAGTTCTCCCTCCAAAATTGGTGATAAAATAATGTTCTCCCCAAAAATTTTAAAATGTTAAAATAATTGAGGACAAAAATATATTCTTCATCAAATAGTTTCAAAATATTTAAAATCAATTTTTTTAAAAAAAAAAAATTTAAAATTATTGGTGACAAAAATATATTTCTCACTAAAAGGATTAGAGGAAAAACCTTTGGTAACGAAATTTAATTTTTCCTCACCTAAAAAGAAGTATTTATTGACGAAAATAAATTTCGTCACCTATTATTTTTATTTTTTTATTATATATGACAAAATTTTATAATTCGTCACGGATTATTCTTATTTAGTGACGAAATTTACTTTCTTCACTATTTTCATTACCATAGGTTACTTAAAGAACTAATTAACTTGTGTTTTGTTTTGAGAGTGAGAGAGAGAAAAAAAAGGGGAAAGGAAAATTGATAAACAATAAAAAGGGGAGGGGGGAGTTAGTAGTCTATTTTTTTCATTACCGCTCAATATGTCAAAATTTTCCTTCCAAAATTAGTGAGAAAATAATTTCCTCACTAAAAAGCCTCAAAATATTAAAAATTATCAGTGATAAAAATATATTTCTCATCAAATGGTCTTAAAATATTTAAAATCAAGTTTCTCAAAATATATATATATATATATATAAAATTATTGGTGACGAAAATATATTCCTCACTAATAATTTTATAATTGGTGACAAATTTTTTTCTCACCAAAAGTCTCAAAATTTTGGCGCCACCAAAAAAAAAATTAGTGGAAAACTTTCGGTGACGAAACTTATTTTTTCCTCACCTAAAAATAAGTATTTGTTGACGAAAATAAATTTCGTCACCTATTATTTTTATTTTTCTATTATATGGGACAAAATTTTGTAATTCGTCACGAATTATTCTTATTTAGTGACGAAATTTATTTTCTTCACTACTTTTCGTCACCATAGGTTACTTTTGTTGTAGTGTCAAACAATGATTTTTTTTCAAAAAAACGCAACCAAGCATAGTGATTGATTTCCATATTTATTTGTATGTAGACAGTAAGTTCCTTTCACAGTCGCATCTTTCACTCTTATTTCCTGCTTAAAGCCCCTAATCTTGTAACTGGAATAAGTACAAAAGATTCACAAACTTAACTCCTAAAAATCAACTACATTAAACTATGCAACCCTAACAACAATGCCATTAAGAAAATTATAATATGTCCATACATCAGAATTGGGACCAAAAATCAGATCAGTAAAGGAAAAAAACTGGCTAATATTGTTGATGCTAATTTAGGGTTTAAAACAGGGTAATAAAAAAACAGAGAGTGAAAAATAAAGAACGATGATTGAAAAATCAGTTCTGGTGATCTGGGAAAAAATAAATGAGATGTGTAAAATACTGATTGATCAATACAAACTGATCAATAAAAAACAGAGATTAACTTCTTCAAAAAATTGATTGAAAACCCTAGGAGAAGAATCGATTGGAAGGAAGAACTTGAGAGAGAGAGAGAGAGAGAGAGAGAGAGAGAGAGAGAGAACTTGAGATTTACTGAAGCGAGGGTGCTCACCTTAGTAGATGATGGTGCTCACTCTCCTCGGATGAATCTGAGATTGAATCACCAAGCTTTGAAATCGAGAGATTACTTCGAAATCGCCAAATGAATCTGTGATTGAATCACTGAGCTGAATAAGGTTGAACTTCGAAATCACCTTCAATCGATCAATAGATCTTCAATCAATCTGATCTAAGAATGATAAAGTAGATGAAACCTAGCATACCTGAATCGAATGATTCCATCAGTAAGTGTCATCTTCAATCGAACTTGAATGTGAGAAGATAGAGATGAGACTAATCAACACTTACCATGAAGAAAGACCTGCGAACACGAACACGAGATGGCACATTACGATATGTGAATCGACCATCTACGAATACTTGTATACTTTAGAAGCGAGAGAAACGAGGGGGTTTGTAAAACCCCTGAAAAATGTACTTTCTTTAAAAATCCTAATGTTTGAATTATTTCCTTAAAGCCCCTCAGTTCCTTGAATTATTTCGAATCTTGTCGGTTAGCATTTATTTATCAAAACCAGAATATCCTAGCTGGATTAGGTTCCTTAGCCTAATTTAATTAAATTCTATATAAGTATGGCTCCAATACATGAATTTAACTTCAAGCCCTCACTTCTTTATTTAAATTCAAAAATTACCCCAAAAACTAGTACATGTACTTTATAAGTACCATCAATCTTGTAATATATATATATATACACACACCTAGAGGAGTGTGCCTAGAACATAAAATAATTAAAAATTAGGCCCTTCACACTTCCCTATGGCTGGCCCTTCCTTGGAGGAGGTGAGAAATCTATTTCCAAGAAACAGCATCATGAACTTCTAGGAAAACACCACCTAGTGACCTAGACCTAGGATGCAAAATCCAAGAACTAGTTTCATTACAACTAGGAGTTGCCTAAACCAATGAACAAGCCTCTCAAATCCCTTCCATTCCTTTAGAATTCAAACAAATCTAACCTTTCCATCCATATCCAACTAAGGGACTTTTAGGACTTTTTGCCTCAAAGGCTTGTCTATAAATACCAACACACCCCCTAGCTTCCAAACACACACAACACACTCACTCACACACACACACATTTCGGTTAGAGAGAGGGAGGAGACCAAGAAAGAGAAGTCTAGAGGAGAAGAAGGAGGAAGAAGAGAGCTTCTAGTGCAAAGTTTAGTAGGTAAGCCACAAACACAACCTTCTCTTTCATTTTCTGTGGGGATATATTTTCTGAGTAGCAACAGGTGCCATGGTGACGCCGACGTGTCAGCCGAGGTGCCACGTGTTGTGGTAGTTACGCCGAGGTGATCTCGGAGTTGCCGAGGTTATCTCCGAAGATATCGGAATCCGAGATAATTGGATCGAGGACAAGAGTCCTAGGACAAAGAGGAGACTTAGCCAAGATAAGGATAAAGCTCTTAGGGAGTTTATCTTTATCTCTTGAGGAGTCCAAAGTAAGCACAGAATTGGAGTCCATAGAAGTCAGGCTTCTAGTGGGACTTGGATTAAGTAAACTATAAAAGAGAGGCACCCCCGTAGGTCTAAGGTACGCAATTTATGTTTTGAGCAGTAATTTTAGCACTTGATTATCTTTGAGAGATATACTGACTTCATCGTCGGAGTGCTCCCGGGTGGAAGAACCACCGCCGGAGCCTTTTCTTTCTGTTACAGGTTAGCTGAAGCCATCTATTCTGCCGGTGCTCTCCAGCTGATTACTAAACGGGCAGTGTGGTTAGAAAATCACTCACATAATTTGACGCCGTCTGTGGGAAGGTAGAAGAATAGATGGCCAGTAACGTACAGAAAGAAAAGGTTGGAGACAACGCTCCCGCTGGGAGCGAGAGACCGATTGACCTCGAAGTTATAGGAAACGAGCATAATGCAGAAACACGTGACCAGGGTCACAGAGAGAAGGACGTCGGCCAGGAGGGCGACACTTCGAAGAGGACAAACCAAGGCAAGTACTACAAGGAAGATAACCTCTAGGTATGGAGGGACAGGTGCCTACGGAGGGATGAAGAAGTAAAAGAATTGGTAAACAAGCTGGCGGACCTACAGTCGGTCGTCAACTTCATGATGCAGAACAATGTTATGCAGCCACCATACCCGTTGTAAGATATGCCAATGCCAGCAATTAACACCCAGAAGGGAGGAAGGAAAACAATCCCTGAAGGCCCTCAGCACACGAGGAGTGGAAGGCACTCTCACCGACCTTCCAGGGAAGTCAGACGAGAGGAGCCGAGGCAAGAAGAGT